CAAGTACTAGTGATTTCAGTATTTAGCACCAAGAACTGAACTTTAGACTACTACAGATAAAGATTTCCCAAAAAGGCAAGACATATATTCAAAGATAGGCCAGCTTCCCTTTATGCTAGATTCAAGCAATGAACATACACATAGGTTCTGTTGATAAATCGTAAGATGGGATTAGAATTATGATAATCTTGCCTTGAACATGGGATCACTTTTATCCCGCATAAATAAAGATTGGAAGAAGGATCTTCAGAAACGTTATACCACCCACTTGAGGAAATGGCATCTAACACCTCACTTTGCAACTAAGAGCCTGTTTGGATTGGCTGAATATAAGTTTTAAGTGCTGGAGCTTGTCTTAGAAATAAGCAGTTACGTGTTTGAATAGAAGTGCTGGAGCTGAAAATAAGTTGCTGATGTGTTTGGTTAAAAAGTGCTTATAAACACATTTTCTGTTCTAAGGACTAAAATATCCTTAAAGCTGTTAACACTAAAAATGAGATAATTACTATAAGATCTTTTATTCTAAAATGATTCTAATCTCAATTAACTTATGTTTCAAGCCATGTTGATTAAAATTAATAAGACAAACGTTGAAATTATTTTCGATTAAATTACTTTATCAAGTTAGATTTTAGGGTTAACCTTTAACACATGCTAATTTACTTAGAAGTTAAGAACGGATGCCCAGCACACATGGCAACATTAGTAATGGTGATCAAACAATTCAACCTTCAAATAAGTTTAAAATTCATAAAAATTAAATGAAAGATAAACACATAAATAACATAGTCCCAGAATAGTAGGAATAGTTGAAATTTGGTACTGAATTTTTTACGATTAAGGAAATTAACAGAATAATAATAATTAAAATTGTCCACTTGCCTTCACGAGTACATAGAGAATTTTTACCAATTTCCTGAACATCCATTTCATGGATAAGTGGATAGCTCCACTAGATTTATGAGTAGTTGCCATAGGTAGTGAAATTTCACACGTATTACTTTATTTTTCCTCACTTCTACAATTGATCTGAATTCTCATTGTCGGTGGAGGAAAGATGCATGGAATGAAGAACGAGAGAGAAAGGAATAATGAGAACTGCGACGCCATATGTTACATGAGATGTTATCTCCGAATCAAAGAGTTAAATAGCATAACTATGTCTAAGAGAAATTTATAAGTGTTAAAGCGTGTGACCATCTCAATTAAAAGCTTAAGCTTTAAGAAAAAACGTGTTTTTATTTCTTAATTATGTCTCACCATGCCCATTACGTCGGGGTCTAATTCTTTTCTTTTTTTTCTATTCATGGGCCAAGCACGGGAAATCTTTTTTTTTTTTTTAGTTAATGGGTGATGGTGAGATTTGAACCCAACATCTCTATCTCCTCTGGTGCCAGGTTGAAATTCAAACACGCTTTTATTTACTAAATTAAGTTGTTTCAACAATAAAATCGTGATGCATACGTCAAAGCTGAAAATGTATGCTGATGCAAGTAGAACTAAACTCGTATACCTTGCAAGGCCAATTGTCACGGTAGAAATGGCAAACAACGCGGTCACTAGCCTTAACAACAGAGAAAAATTCCTTCTCAGTAGGGATCTCAGAGTATTCACCGTGTCCAAGAGAAATCCAACGGCTCCGTTTCTCCGCCACTTTCTTCATCTGCTTCAACCTCCGTTCTCTCAATACCTCCAAATCATCAAGATCTAGTCGCTCTAGAGCATGTAATTCGTCGTCCAGCTTCTCCTCTACCGCCTTTGCTACCGTCAGCACTTGCTTCTCCACTATCTATATTTAAACAAATAAATCCATATTAATTAAGCCAGAAAAAAAAAACGACGAACCGATAAAACCATAACAAGATCTATGGAATAGAAAATACATGTGATATTTACTTACCTCTTGCACCATGGATCTATCCATCGCTTGAAGATTGGAAATGTATCGAAATTTTTGTGGAATTTCGATTTGAATTGTTTGTTCACCTTTGTGAGAGAGAAAGATATTTGTCCAACTCTGGGCGCAGATCAGGAAAAAAAAAACTCGATTTTAGAGCTCAATTTGCATAAATAGCCTTTATTGAGGCCATTTTTTATATACTTTAGCCAGAGGGTTAAAGTTTGGCCATATATTTTATTTTTTATAGATAATTTAGTTTGTCCTAAATAATGGTGGCAAAATGATTAAAACAAACACTTAACGACCCATATTATCCACTAAAAAATGAGTTATATAATGAACTTTTTAAAAATGGGTCAAATATGGATAAGAACCATTATATCCATTTAGAAAATGGATAACCAATGGATTTACTTTTACATTTGTAAAGCATCAAATTGGGGGTTCTTCAAGTTTGGAGACTAGGAATTCTCCCAAAAGTGATCATATTCAAAAACTCATGTATAACATAGCTACCCATATTATCCGCCGATTAACCCGTTTTTTATCCGTATTCCATATGGGTCGGGTCGGACAATTTAACCATTTTTTCATTATCTATTTTTGACTCGAACCATATCCAATCCGACCTGCCTGTTTGCCATTCCTGGTCCTAAAGTTTAGCTCGAGTGGCTAAATTTGATGAAGTATAAAAAATCTTTCATGTTACAGTGGCCTTCACTTACGTCAAGTCTCGAGAAGATAAAAACGCGCAAGACACCTTTGGATTGCTAAGGCAAGCCAAAGCAGCATATGTAAACGATTCAATGGCGGTGCCAACAGATTTAGGATTCGACCAGTAATTTGAAGTTCGAAATTGTTGCAATAAAGTTCAAAGTCTAAAGTTAATGTAGCATGCTTCAAAATTTTGATAAAAAAACTATGAGGCTTTTCTTATCGAAGTCAAATTTAAATAGTAACACCAAGTCAACCTATTTGTGCAAATCACTTTTTCATGATTTCGCTGTCAAAATGGCATGGCATAGTCATTTAACGGGTGGTTATTAAAAAATAGCTTAGTGTATGCAAAACTATTGAAAAGTAGCAACTATACAATGCAGAGATAAAACCTGAACAAAAATACTTTGACGGAGAATTTCAGCATAATATGCTAGATTGTGGAACTCTTGCGTACAAACTTCTAGCATATTATGTTGGAACTCCAGCACATTATGAATTAATACATTATGCTGGAATCTCATATGTATAAAAAATCGAACTTGAGCATATTACGCTGAATTTTTTCTGAATTTTTAAAGGTATTTTTGTTCAAATTTTATTTTTACATGAAAAGTAACTAACTTTAAATTAATTTTAAAGTATGGCTAGTTTTTAATTAGTAGTTGTAAATTAGGCTATTTCTGATTTTCCCGATTTCGCTCTATATGTCTAAAGCCCAGCCCAATATTAAAATTGGCCTCATACCGAATATTTGTGCTCGCACGTACTAGAACATTCCACCCGAAACAGCCGGTTAATTTACGCTATTAAGTAGTTAAATGAAAATCTGATATCCGTAATTCTATATTTTCTCATCCAAATATCCTAAAGTGGAAAGGATCGTCCTCCATATAGCGGATTAATTCCTTCTGATCCCACTCAATTTTCCTATAATATTTTGTTACACACTAGTTTCCCCAGGTAGCTCTCCTTCAATTTTATCTGTTTAGGGTTTCAGAATTTCTCTTTTTAGGGTTTAGTTTGCTTGCATTTACTGTTAAAAAGTTGCTTTTTTGTTTAATTTCAGCATTGATGATAGTTTTGATAATCGGAATTCCCAATTTTCTTTTGTTGTTTTTCAAGGATATGCATCCCTTTATACAGGTGTGCGTTAGGGTTTAAGGTAGAGTAACCTCCGAGAAACTCTGATAGACTCCTAGGATTTCAAGAGTCTTGTAGTATCTTGAATTTAGGATTTGTCTTGATCCTTTAAAATTTTGATGTCTACAAATGCCCCCTAATTCAAGGCTTGTGGTGTGTAGGCTTGCCGTATAACGAAAACAAGTCTTGAAGTACCAACGAGAGTTACCACTTCTTCAATTGAATTGGAAAACCTCTCTAGTATTTAAATATCTTACTTAAAAGATAGATTTCGTTTGTAAACTGAATGGCAAATACTTGGTCTTCAAAGTATGGCCAAATTTAGTAAGTCACTTCCACGTAGATCAAGACTTGCACCAACTTTACAAGAACTTAATTTCACGAAATTCTTGAGTCCAAAGCTTTTGTAGTTTGAATAAAGGGCTTAGCGTCCTGCTTTGTGCGTCCACCCTTACAATTTTGCAGCTTTGGCGAAGAAGCACTAAACACATTTTTCTTGTAGTTTCTACAACTTTGATGAGGAACCACTTAGATAGAGAACAATAGACGTATCCCAGACGTTACCCCCACAAATTGCAGTTGAGATCTTTTCTTTTTAGCCATCTCCAAGGACAAAGTGTTCGAATCCATCAAAGCCATGCATTGAGTGCTCGTGCCAGCATGACTGTCATCAACAGATTTTTTTCGGCCAACAGTTGTTGATTTTAAAACTTGTATTTTCTGATTAGCAGGAGCAAGAGATGAAGGGCAGAACTGGTCTCATTGGGCGTGCCAATTTGTTTGCAACAAATTATATGTGATACAAAAATAAATTGCAACCACAATATAGATATGATTAAACATAGTTTTATTGATAAAATGAAGCGGGTACAATTCTGCTTGTTCCCGTGATTCTTCTCTCCTGATTATCTCCCTGATTCGAGGGCTAGAACGGCATGTTTCTCGAATGTAGGATGATACGGACCACTCTGGACTATTGAATCTCCATGAAAGTCGATCATTGTATGGATATTCTTCTTGAAGTATTTGATTATCAAGAAGAATATCTATTGATCACGACATTATTTTATGTCTTGATCCCTTTATGAATTTTCCAAGAATTTATGGGATTTTTTTGAGACCCCTCTTCAAGGGATATGCATCCCTTTATATAGGTGTGCGTAAGGGTTTAAGGTAGAGTAACCTTCAAGGGATATGCATCCCTTTATATAGGTGTGCGTTAGGGTTTATGGTAGAGTAAACTTCACGGAAACCGTACGCACGATCTACAACATGTTTATTTTTAGTTATAGTTTGAAGTTGTAGTCGGGTCACATGAAATGCACACCCGAATGAAATTTATGTATCATGACTATGTCACGGGAACCATAAAAATAATTTATTTATTTTAACTGTTGATGGCCGAGTCACGCCAGCGTGCACTCGAATTTTTGGGGTTACGTATCATGACTATGCCACGGGAAACGTACCATAGTCACGATAATTTATTATTAATCGCGCCTAAAGCAAACTACGATGTTCATAAGTGATTATTTCCTAAGCTTGTTTGAGATTATTTGGCAAATCCAAAGTTATGGAAGATTCAAGGTTGTTACGTGAGGAAGCTCTAGATTAGTTTAAAAGTGTTTCCTCCCTTTTCAACTATTTAATTCTAAAATGACTTAACAGTAAAGGTAAGGGGGGATTTAAACTCGGTTTGTTGTTAGCACCAGACCCCCATTATTTCAATTGATATACATATGTTCACGGCAAATGTATTACAACCTTCTTAAACATTGCCGAAGAATCAATCAAATTCCAAAATTGTGACAAATTCATTGAAATAAAAATAAGAAATCATAATTCAACATGCTTTGGATTTCCATTCAAACTCAAAAGACCGACTTTCATTTTCAATAATAACGACAGAGAATAATCTCAAACCCCTCTCTTATGAATTTACGAAATACCTAGCTAGCAGTAGCACGCCAACCATTACACAGTGATATTTCAACTAAAAAAAACTGTTTGTTTCAAATACGCTAATGGCCAGTATCGGTTAGAACATGTTTGATGTATAATTCTAATTTACTTGTTAATGACAAAACAGACAATTACAACCATGTGTTCAATTCAAACTAATATAGCCTTTAAACACACTAGATCTAATAGCGTAAAGCAACAAACAACTCGAGTTTCATTCATGATTCCAAGTCAAAGCAACAGAGACATATGAACATACCTCCTAAGCAAACAAAGAATAGGAACAGTTTTCAGTACAGAGCAGCAACAAACGAGCAACAAACAACCACGAATTCGAGCTTCAACAGCCCCTTAGATCCAGGGAAGAGGAATCTGAACTTTGAAAATTTAGCAAACAATTTCTTCTCCAAATCTGATTCGAAATTCCAGTTCTCTTTTTTTTTTTTTTTTAAAGTGATTTTTCAGATCTTCATTTTTGGATTTTTCTCAGCTTTTGTTTCATATCTGGTGCTCTATATCTGAAATTTCAGCTATTTCTTCATAGATGTGTTTGTCGATGGTATTAGAGAGGAAGGAGAAAGGAAGGATTATGTGAGGGATTTTAGAGAGAGATCAGCGAGAGGAGTGAAATGAGAGCAAAAAGAGAGGTCCAGTCTGGTTCTCTTTTTCCGGCGGCCAGGTGGGTGAGAGGGGAGGGGTCGGCGGCTGCTAGGTTTTTTGTGTATGGGGGAAGCTCTCCTCTAGGGTTAGGTAAGGTGTGAGATCTGACCTCTAATGTGTGTGAGGGGAAACGGGTCGGGCAGGCGGGTCGGGTCTTTGGTTACAGAGTGAGTCGGGCCGGATATTAGGGGGATTGGGGCAGGCTAGTGGAGTGAATAATTGGGCTTGGGAGGGTACTAAGGCTATTGGGCCAATCTATGAAGCTGAACTGAACAAATAAGACCTTTTCCTCTCTTATAATTTCAAATTATACCTAATTAAATCCTAACTTAAAACCTAACTTAAATCTAATTAGCAAAATTAATTCTATTTATCTATAAAAAAATGCATGAAATATTTTTTTTTTGATTTTTTTTATGTATTAATTCAAACAATTATAGAGTAGTTAATTCCTAAAGATGCAAATTAGACCTAAGATGGCAAGAAATTAAAAGTGTGACAATTTTTTATGATTTTTTCATAATTTAAAATATTAAATATGCATGAAATGCAGCTAAACGCAAGCAAAGAAAAATTCTAAAATTCCATAAATTCGAAAACAATTAGAAAAATATATTTTGTGGATTTTGTAGGAATGTTTTCTGTAGGGCAAAAATTAGGTGCTCACGCTAGTATTTGTTTTAGCATGAATTCAAACACTTTTAAGCAAAATCTTAATACTTAATAAAAAGAAATAATATGAAATCATTAAGTTGTTGGTATGAAATCTTTTAAAATAGTATTAATTTTGATGCCCAGCCTTACTACTTTGACCAAGTATTATTAATTTTACTTGGAAGGTAGATATCAAACAAGTTTACTGAAAATTACATTGTAATAAAAATAATCTTGACCAAGAAACCAAATAATTATAAGGCCTGGTAATTTCATACGTATAAAATAGGTAATTGTTGTTAGATTGACCAATTACGCATGACATGTATTTTATTATGTTTTGGCTTTTTGTGTCCAAAATAATTCTTAAGTTAGCATTAAGAGATTACCTTTTGTGTCACTATTATATTTATTAAGTGCTATCAAATTTCTCATTAATTTCATCTAAAAACTTTTCAAATTACTAAAGGGGAGAAGCATCTAGTGCCGCAATTAACATTTTTTCCTTAAGTAAAGAAAATAATAAAAATAGTTTTTTTTACATTTGGTGAAGAAAGAAATACTCTAGTACATTTGGTAAGACTCTTAAATACTTTCACATGAAATGAATTTAACAAAGAGTTAAAATTCATCTAAGATGTATTACAAGTAAACATGAAGTAGAAAAGATGTATTTATTTATTTTGTAATTATCCAGTTAGAAATTAGATGGAGACCATGATCATGATACTCAATTGGGACATACCAAGTGGTAATTATTAAGAACACTTGTCACGACCGAGTTCGCCCTCCGTGAACTGTCGTGACGGTACCTAGTCTCTACGACTAGGTAAGCCTAACAATTTGCGGAAAAAGGAAAACGAAAGATAAAACTAACCAAAAACTGCGAAAAAACATAAATAAAACGTTTAGGATGTCGCTCGGCATATACAAATATAAACTCTCGAACTGAATCAACTCCCAAAATCCGAATCTCATGAAATCACAAGCTGAGAATGATTACATAAAGTTCTAACTCCAGAATATCTAGTCAATAGAGAGTACAGAAGACCTAAAGCTAACAGAAATAGATAGAGAGAGACTCCTGGGTCTGCGGACGCGGCAGATATACCTCAAGTTTCCGAAAGTCGCCTCGTCTCGCTAACGATATGGCCGAGCAGATGAACCTGGATCTGCACACAGAAAACATGTGCAGGAAAGGGCATGAGTACACCACGACGGTACCCAGTAAGTGCCAAGCCTAACATCGATCGTGTAGTGACGAGGAAGATCAGGGCCCTACCGGTCATAAACATATATATGTAAGTAAATGAAACGGTATAAAGCAACACAGGGTAATAAGAACAACAACAACTACGACAGAGATAATATCACAGAAAGAAGATAGCTCTACACAGAGATAGCAACCGGGGATCTCCCAGGATATCGCCCTGTAGTCTCAAAAGTAAATATTCAATGGATCTCCCGGGATATCATCCCGTAGTCCAGTTCATAATGCGCAGGGGATCTCCCGAAATACCAATCCGTAGTCCCAAATGTAAATCTTAGTACAGGGGAAAATCTACCGGGTGCAGTCCCGTAGCCCCAATATAAATGTGCAGGAGGATCTCCCGGAATACCAATCCGTAGTCCCAAATAAACAAGCAAGGGGAATCTCCCGAGATATTGCCCGTAGTCCCCAAGTAAACACATAACAGCATCACGAAGAATATTCAATCCTATTCAATTTCATACCAAGTAAAAATAGATATTTCTAACCTAGTATGCTGCACAAAATTCGAATAAAACAGTTTGAGCAAGTAAAGCAATTAAATCACTTAGATATGCTTCCATAAGCTAACAGTAGGCTTAAATTGCAAGTAGTGTTCAACAAGGAAGAAAACACAAATTGTAGTTACTTAATGAAAATAGGATTTTCAACAATTAGCACACGTACGCACTCGTCACCTCACGTACAAGGAATTTCATATTTCAACACTATCAAATCCTAAGGGGAGTTCCCCCACAAAAGGTTAGGCAAGCCACTTACCTTGAACTAGCTCCATCAACTCGATATTACATTCTTGCCACGAGTACCTGACTCCAAATGACCCAAATCTATTCAAAGTAATTGCATAATGTAAATATAACGTCAAGTAACTAATTCAACTAATTAATTCGAAACTAACACGCGAAATTAGGAAAATTGCCCAAAAAGTCCCCCGGGCTCACGTCTCAAAATCGGATAAAATTTGCAAAACTAGAATCCTCACACTCTCTCGAGTTCATACATACCAAATACACGAAAATCGGACCACAAACAACCCCTCAAATCCCCAATTCCATGTCTCCAATTTCAAACCCTAAACCCCCAATTCTAACCCTTAGTTTCCATAAACTTCTTGCCAAATCAGTAGAATAATACCATATAAACGAGTTTGGGTACCAAAAATCTTACCTCCTTGAAGCTCCCTTGAATTTTCTCTTAAAAACCTCCCAAAAAGCTCAAATTCCGGATGAAAATGGTGAAAGAATGGGCAAAAATCGCGACTGAAACCTTATATAGCTTCTGGCCCAAAGTTTCCGCACCTGCGGCCTTGACCTCGCACCTGCGGTCCCAGGTGCGCATCTGCGCAATTCCACTTAAAGCACTGGGCCGCACCTGCGGTCTCGTAGGTGCGCTCAACCTCTCGCACCTGCAGATTCTGGTCTCCAAGCGCCTGGCCGCATCTACGTTTCCTCCATCGCTTCTGCGATCACGCACCTGCGGTCCCCAAACCGCAGATGCGATTATTACAGAACTTCAGCAGCTGAAGCTACTTCCAAATCTCCCAATTTCTTCCGTCAACCTTCCGAAATCATCCCGAGGCTCCCGGGACTTCAACCAAAAATACGAACAAGTTATATACCACTATTCAAACTTTTACCAATCCTCGGAACACTCAAAATAATTCCGAAATACCAAATCACCCTCGGATTCAAGCCTAAAGATTCCAAAACTTCAAATTTCCGCTTTTGATCAAAAAGTATATCAAACCTCGTCCGAATTACCTGAAATTTTGCACACACGTCCCAAATAACATGACGGACCTACTCCAACTTCCGAAATTCCATGCCGCCCCCGATATCAAAATTTCACTATCGAACCGGAAACTTCAAAAATTCGACTTCCGGCATTTCAAGCCTAATTAAGATACAAATCTCCAAAACACAATCCGAGCATGCCCCAAAGCCCGAAATCACCCAACGGAGCTAGCGGAACCAACAGAATTCCATTCCGAGGCTGTCTTCACACTGCTCCGACTACGGTCCAATTCTAAAGCTTAAGCTCTCATTTATGGACTAAGTGTCCCAAAACACTCCGAAACTCACAACGAATCACCCCGGCAAATCAAAATAGCAGAAACAAATACGGGGAAAGCAGTTAATAGGGGATCGGGGCGTTAATTCTTAAAATGACCGACCGGGTCGCCACAACACTTGCTACCTAGTTCCTTCATCATTTTGTTAATTATTTTCGTTCCCCTAATCCATTTTCGTTTTTGTCCAAATCTGTTCCTCCCTTATTCCCATTCCCGTTTTTCCCCTCTGTTCTCTGTTTGTTATGGCTCTTCCTAGTTAAAGAAATGGGGTATTTTTGTGGTTCAAGGTTTTGAGAGGAAAGGGGTCCTCTCTTAATGGGAATGAAGGAAAGGAAATGGGAGGGTGCCGCTATTGTCTCTCTTTCTGTTGATTTCGGAAAATGGTCTTTGCCCATTAGATTTTTAGAATGGAAATGGTTGTTGCTCTCTCTGTTTTTGTCCAAACAAAGAGACGATGGATGTGTGGCTCAGGGGTCTACTGCGGCTCTTAGCTTCTTAGGGTGGGCAGCTCTTGTGTGTGGGAGATAGGGTTAGGGTTTTAGTTATAATGTGGCTTATATATGAGTGATGCGAGTAATTATGGCTCTTGGATCTAAAGGTTTTGATGGCTGAGATTGAAAAATAAAAACGGGACGGGTCAATGGATAGGGTCGCGGGTCAAACTGATGGGTCATGGGTTTGGGAAGATTGGGCTAAATATGCTTGGGTTTTTGATAAATCTGAAAATCCTAGCCCAAAACTCTACTTGTTCTAAAAATTAATAACCTCAGCTTAAATATAAAACTAGTAAGCATTTTTCTTGACAATAACAACCAAGGAAGAAAAATCGAGGTAAGCTATATTTCGAGCAAATAAATTACTGTAGTAAAAAGGAATTTAGGCCTATAAATTCTTTTTTTGTTGTCCTAACAGCTATTCTGCTTTGTTTAATCTGGTGGTTTCCCTCTATATCATAAGGGAAGATTCTACCCCAAAAAACTTCAAATTAAAATTCAATCCAACCATAATAAATAGAAAAGACGCCAAATCTATCATAATTCAAATAAAGCCTACTAATAAAAGAACCAAAAACAAAGAAAGTTTGTTTGAAGAAGCTCTTAGGA